CGACAAAGTATTTTTATTACGACAATCAACAAGTGACCCTGGTAACAGCCTAAAATTTATGACAATAGAGTACCAAGATATATATATATAGTATAATAGAATAATCTTTTAATGTCAGAAAACCTAACAATTGCTTCTGTTAATTGCCAGGGCCTTGGAGATTTTAAGAAAAGAAAGGATGTCTTTGCATACATTAGAGAAAAAAAATATAATATATACTGTCTGCAAGATACTCACTTCACATCAGAGCTAGAAAATAGAATAAGAACAGAATGGGGATATGACTGTATTTTTAGTAATCATAGATCAAATTCAAGAGGGGTAGCAATTTTGTTCAATAATAATTTTTCTTACACTATTCATCATACTACATGTGACCCAAATGGTAATTTTATTGTCTTAGACTTAACGATACAAGAAAACAGACTTACTCTGATAACTTGTTATGGTCCAAATACTGATATTCCAAGTTTTTATTCAGAAATAGAAGAAATATTATTAAATTATAACAATGATAAGAATATTCTTTGTGGGGACTTTAATTTGGTTTTAAATCCATTGATAGACACTAGTAATTATAAACATATAAACAATCCAAATGCAAGAGATAAGTTATCTGATATAATAAATGAATGTGATCTAGTTGACTCTTATAGGGAATTTCACCCAGATACAAAAAGATTTACATGGAGACGGAAAAATCCTACAAAACATGCTCGCCTTGATTTTTTTTTAACCTCAAGAAATGTTTTGTCAAATATTATTAATTGTACAATTGAATCCAGCTATAAATCAGACCACTCCATGATAACATTAACATTAAAATTTCAAGAGTTTAAAAGAGGTAAAAGTCTATGGAAATTCAACAATACTCTATTGAGCGATATAGATTATGTTAAAACAGTGCAGAAAGTAATTAAAGATGTAAAGAATCAGTATGCAGTTCCGATTTATGATGTAAATAATCTTGATAATATAAATGAAAATGAAATACAATTTATTATTGATGACCAGTTATTCTTAGAAACTTTACTTATGGAAATTAGAGGGAAAACTATTTCTTATGCATCTTATAAAAAAAAGAAAACTTCTAAAGTAGAAAAAGATTTGATTAACAAAATTCAGAACTTAGAAGAAAGGGAGGGAATTTCAAATAATGATGATATCCACAAATACAAAAAAGAGCTAGAGGGTATTAGAGATAAAAACTTGATGGGAAATATGTTCAGATCAAAGGTAAAATGGATAGAAGAAGGGGAAAAACCATCAAAATATTTTTGTAGTTTAGAAAAAAGAAATTTTACAGAAAAAATAATACCAAGGATAGAAACAGAGGTGGCAACTATTACAAAACAGGAGGAGATTTTAGAAGAAACCCGAAAATACTATGATAGACTATACAAAAATAATGATAAACCCTCTAACTACTCATGGTTTGATGATGATATTTCACTTAATGATGTCCCTAAACTCTCATTAGAAGAAAAAATTATTTTAGAAGGTAGGATTGATTACTATGAAGCAACACATGTATTAAAGAATATGAAAAATGATAAAAGTCCCGGGTCAGATGGTTTTACTGTAGAATTTTTTAATTTTTTTGGGAAAAATCTAAATCCTTTTATTATTCGATCAATAAACCGTGGGTATAAAACTGGGGAACTTTCTATTACTCAAAAACAGGGAATCATTATTTGTATACCAAAAGGAGATAAGCCCCGTCAGTTTTTAAAAAATTGGAGACCAATTTCTCTTTTAAATGTTGTCTATAAAATAGCGTCGGGATGTATTGCAGAAAGACTTAAATCAGTTCTAGATAAACTTATACATAGTGACCAAACAGGTTTTATTCCGGGAAGATATATAGCTGACAATACTAGATTAATTTATGATGTAATGGATTATACAGAGGAACAAGACATACCAGGCATGTTACTTTTAATTGACTTCGAAAAGGCTTTTGATTCTGTATCATGGTCATTTATAAATCAAGTTTTAGAATTTTTTAATTTTGGTGAGTCAATTAAGCAGTGGATAAAAACATTTACAAATAATATTTCTTCTTTAGTGAACCAAGGTGGAAACCTATCTAAACCCATAAAATTAGGAAGAGGTTGCCGACAAGGAGACCCGTTATCACCATATATCTTCCTTCTCTGTGCAGAAATATTAGCAATAAAATTAAGAATAAATAAACATATAACAGGCATCAAAATCAACACTACAGAACATCTGATATCACAATTCGCTGACGACACTTCTCTTATTCTAGATGGCACTGCAATATCACTTAGACATGCTATAAAAGAGCTTAATTATTTCTGGGAAATATCGGGACTTAAATTAAATTACACAAAAACACAAGTAATATGGATAGGGAGTAAAAAGTATAGTACAGAAAAATTAGTCAATAATCTTGCTCTATCATGGGGTTCAACACATTTTAATCTGTTAGGTATTCACTTTGATGTGGACCTTACTAAAATAGTTCAACTCAATTTCAAAGAAAAAATTACGAAATTAAAATCATTAATTAAACAGTGGAATAGACGATATATAACTCCAATAGGCAGGATTACTGTAATAAAATCTCTACTTTTACCAATACTAACACATTTATTCATAGGACTACCTTCTCCTAACCAAAATATTATGATAGAAATTCAAAAGTTGTTTTATGAATACCTTTGGGGAAGTCCAATAGCTAAAGTAAAAGGAGATGTCATGGTCAAACAGTATGAAGAAGGTGGTTTGAAAATGATTAATATCAAACATTTTGAAATGGCTCTAAAATCAACATGGATAAGAAATATTTGTATTAAGACGTCAAATTGGCAAACCATACTGTTTGAAAAAATAAACAAGAAAAAAATGTTAACTTTAGGAAATAAATATATTGATTATGTTATCAAAAATATACTTCATAACAAATTTTGGATTGATGTTCTTCATGCATGGAATACATTAAGGGGAAACATTGATATATCTCAGTCAGATCAAGTATTATCTTTACCTATTTGGTATAATGACTTAATCAAAATAGGCAATAATACTGTATATTATAAGCGATGGTTTGATAAAGGTGTGTTTTTCATAAATGATCTAATTAAGGAAGATGGCAGTTTCCTTCAACATAATGAATTTAATGATATTTTTAATTTAAATACTAACTTTATTGATTATAATGGTCTCATGTTTGCAATAAGAAAATTAGGCTGGACTTTTGAAAAAAAACTTACACTACCATTGATACCACTGTATATTAATATAATTATCAAACATAAAAAAGGTACAAAGGATATGTATAATGTGCTGAACAAAAATAGTGTAGTGCCCACAGGTCAAATAAAGTGGAATAATGTATTTGGAAATATACCAAGTGAGGATTGGAAGAAAATATACAAACTACCTTTTGACACTAATACAAATTCGAAATTACAATGGCTGCAATTTAGAATTAATCATCACATTTTAGTTACAAACTCCTTTTTGAAAAAGATTAATTTGGTCCAGTCTGATATGTGTAATTTTTGCTTCATAGAAAAAGAAACTATTCAGCACGTACTATAGGAATGTAATACAGTCCAACATGTTATACTTGCTTTCCAAATATGGATCCAAACTACTTGTAATGTGACTTTTAATATATGTAAAAAAGATTTTATTTTTGGGAAAATAACACAAAATCAAAATCAGAATAACAGGGCAGAAAATGTCATAATTCTTAATATGAAACACTACATATATTGTCAAAAGTGTTTTTGCAAAGAGCTTTACCTACCTACTCTAATCAGTAAATTAAAAACAGCATACTCTATCGAAAGATACATAGCAAAAAAATATGACAGGGAAGCATCTTTTATCAAAGATTTCAGCACCTTTCATATAGTTTTTAGATAATTAGATATATATATATATATAGATACATACATATACCAATCTATTTTTTTACTCTCCTCTTTTAGCAAGTTTTGTATTTCTTCCTTTTTTTTCATTTGCTGATATATTTACAATAAGCACCCTTTCATGAATAATTATTGCTTTCGTCGGGAATCTCTCTTCCTCTCTTCTTGTTCTTTTGTCTCTCTTATTCCTGTCCCTCTTTTCTGGATAAATTTCTACTTTTTAACCAAACTATNAAAAAAAAAAAAAAAAAAAAAAAAAAAAAAAAAAAAAAAAGTTATTGATATACATACGTAATTGATAATATTTTTTATAAGCAAAACCTACAACAATATAGTAGAAAAAAAGAGAATTTGTGTTAAGTAGCCTATTGAAAATAGCGCATTGTTGTCAAGCTTGACTCCCTAGAGCCTGGCGTCAACTATTACGCTACTAATTCCCGCCCTTTTTATTCAGCAATATTTTCGTCGTTTGAACTTTAAAAGATGTAATGAATAGAAAAATTAATGGTTTTCCCATTAAATGCCTTATATATTTTACGAGTACTGCAAAATAAACACGACTGAAAAGATCTATACATTCTGCTATGTTAAATCCATATGATATTAAATGCGATAACGTCAAATATCCTCCATGATGTATTTCGGAGAATTACAGTAAATCATATAACAGTTTAAATCTAAATTTCCGATTTCATTTTTGGTCCAGCAGAATATATACTATAATAATTTGAACCGTTTTTGTCTCAGTATTATTTTCAGTATTTGTGTTATTTTTTCTAGACTTTTGATGCTTTTATTTGTGCAAACAACCATAAAATATTCTTAACGTTTTCAGACTTCAATATCATACGAATAAAACTCAAATGAGATTATTGCCTAGACTCATTTTGATGTTATTTAAATAGAAATTTGATATTAACATCAAAATTAAATAGCCATATTTGAAGAAGGAAACATTGAGGTGGCAATGTTTAGCGAGTTCCCAGATATGAACGAATGTCCTAAGGAATGCAATGTAAAAATTAGCCTTCAGTACGAAAATTCCAATCCCGAACTTTGACGTTTTATACATGTTTTGGGTGTAACTATTGGCAGGTTGAAACCCTTACGATGGTCGACTGTAGCTAATGGCCCCGGACAGCTGCGAACGACCTTGGACCTGAGATTACGTAGCGATACTAATCTTCCTAACGCCAGTCCGATAGCGGCTGTGCAGCCCACCATAGGGTAATTCCACTTATACAAAGGAAAGTCAACTAAACTTCCAAATAAATAATAACTGTTTATGAGGAATAATTTTAATTTTCAAAAGGATGGGTGGCCTCGTTAATTCTACAGTGGGCCATAACCGATAAGCATTATGTTTTGCAGAAATAATGTCCAGGGTAAGGTCATCATGACATGGTGTTTCGCTTTAGAACCAATCGGTCCCTGCAAAGAAAAAGATGATGGGTTGAAGTTAGAGAGGGGGCAAAATATGGTATATTGTTAAGGTTTATTACAGGCTTACTTGAGTTAAGTCAATGTATTGATACTGTAGTTACAACTATATGTATTCTATTTGTGAAAATACGTTTTGTAACCCACATGTTAAAAGTAGGTCACTGCTGCCTTGTTCATGAAGACAAAAACAAGATGTTTTACTTTTTCGACACAATTAAACCTATTTGTGTTGTCTGTATCACATTTTCCCCAATATTTATGTTCCGGTACATCACATTAGACACAGACAAGCATTACAATCAGGGGTTTGATTAGTTAAAGTAATATGACCCGACAGTGAAGTAGGTCATAGCTGGACACCATAATCTTCTTAGCATTGACAGAGTCAAACCAACTCACAGTACCGCAGGTTCAATTGCTGTCACTTTCGGATTGTGACCAACTGTCTACAACCAAGGATTCCTGTACAGAGTCAATGTACTTTGTTGCCTGCTTGAGCTGCGCATCGTCAGATTGGTTGCGTTCAAATGACAGATACCATAACACGGAAGCGCAATGTGCGTACAACACTATCTAATAAATGCCATTGTGATGTCTAATTACTCAAAATTTGTCATCTTGGGGAATCCCAATGACTGGTTTCGTCCAGTTTTCCCCCCAGACATACATTAGGGCTACTGGCAAGAGCGAGAATTGTCTCAGCAACAAAACCATCGTTTGGAGAGTCAGAGGCAAGTGGGGGTTCTATTTCTGGCTTCTGATCTGTTTAAGAAGCACTGTTTCCATTAACAAATTTGTAATATTTACTCCTTCATGTTTTTCAGACTCTATTTCCGGATACAAGTTTGGAATTAATGTGTTCCTTCAGATACAATAATGCTTCATTCTTTAATAAAACACTGAAAGAAACCTTGTTTTGCCTAGCAGCAGGCGGACTCTGTAAATCTTAGCATCACTACCATACAAAAGAAATGTTTTATACAATATCAACATACAGATTAAATAACTAATTTTGTAATAAGATACTTCCTTGCGCTCAAAACATATAGTGACAGTTTAACAAGTTAGATATCTTAACAGTGGTAAAGAATTTCCGAAATCCAAGTTACTCATGTGTCTGTATTATATAGTGAGATAAGATGCAGGCTGCAAGCTGTAAATAGATTTTGCGAAATGTGCGCTGATGTGACTTAAACTGATCAACTCCCTGATTATAATGCTTGTATGAGTCGATATGATGTACCGAAACATTACTGGCGGGGAAGATGTAATACAGATATAAAACAACTAGGTTTCAATTGTGTCGGAAAAAAAGTGAAAATATTTGTTTTGTGTCATTTTGAACTAGGCAGCAGTGATATACTTTTTCAATGTTACAAAAAGTATTTTATCAAATAGAATATATATCAATATATATTGAAAATCTGTGATTCAGTTTGTCTGTAATTACCTTAACAATATACTATATTTTGCCCCCTCTCTAACTTCAACCCCCTCATTTTCTATGCAGGGACCGATTGGTTCTAAAACCAAACACCAATTCATGAAGACGTAGCTCTAGACTTTATTTCCGCAAAAAAATAATGCTTTTGGGTTACGACCCACTGAAGCATTAACGTGGCCAGCTTTTCGGTTACGGCCCAATGAAGCATTAAAGTGGCCACTCATCCTTTATTTCATAACTATTGCGATGAGTTTTATTTTTACCAGATGATGGCGATCTTAACTTTTTCTTTAAACAATTCTCTGAAGGAAAAATACCGTGGCTGCTCGGACATATATCTTGTTTTGTGAAATTCAGCTTTGATTTGCTTATAATTTAAATAAACAGAGTACACTTAAAATGAATCCAAACAATTACTCAACTTTTATTTTGTTATGTTCAAGTTTAAAGATCTTATTAACTTGCTGTTTATCTCAAATACATATTTTTCAGAATACAATCTGGATGCGAGAAGACCATATCACTTCCAATCATAGATCCAGATGCTGACACAATCAAGTGCCGGTTAGCTGGTCCGACTGATTGTGGTATAGCTTGTACAACAATCACAGGCATCAAGATAGACAAAGTTAGAAACTTTACAGCAATTATTTTTTTTTTTGTTCAAACTATTATTCCAGAGAACTAAGGTATACCTGAGGCTACCAAAAATATTATCGAAAACGACGGATTTGCATGCCTTCACATGCTGTACTTCGTTATTTATATCAGTTACCAATCAATAAACTACGTTGACATTTTTTGGAAACTATTTTTTTTTTTTATTTCTGAAAGGACAAATGCACAGTGACCATTCCGGGTACGTTGAAAAGTGGCGAGTACCGCCTTACTGCTGTGGTTGAGGACTTCCCACGCAGCGTCATACAACTAGGGGGCGCGACCAGTAACCTCAACCAGCCACTTAGCACTGTACCGCTCCAGGTAAGCAGGCTATATTTTTAATGGATCATATTCGTTTTGTTGACAAATAAATACGTAAACATTTTAATTCAATGCCGATAGGTCCCTGATACATTTGGTTATGAAATATTAATATTATCATCACCATGATCAGTTGATTTATAATATGCCTCATAATCCCGCCCAAAGTATAAGCTTAAAGCGCTCATACGTCTGTAGCTGGATGACCGAATTACTCGGTAGTGAAGCGGACTTAACACCACTCAATCAATCAATTAATAATACGGTTTCCTAGTGCTGTAGGAAGTGTGTATTTAGAAAAGGGGGATGGGGTTACGATTTAACTTGTTTTAATGTATACAGTCAATAAACGTTCGCAGAAAATAGCATGACGGGTGATTCTGGGTACATATGTATAAGCTTTGCGACAGAAGGACATCATGTGATCATGTGATCTCCATAACTTTTCCTGTTGCCTTAACATGTTTGAAGCTAGTTCATCAGTAGTACTACTGTTAAGTTCAAGACTTCTGCGATACTATACTTTTCCCAAAACGATTCAGGTCATTCAAATAATTAATATTTCAAAACTGACAGCTCGTTCAGTCAAGTCGTCAGTAAGCATTTTTCTAATTTATTTCTGCATTTATACAATGTATGCGATGAACCAATAAAATTTGCAGAGATGTCAGATCAGTAATATTTGATCAACTTTAATAACACCCCTGCAGGTGGGGGATCGGGAAAATAATACACCTGTTACCCACTGCAGAATTGGGGATTTGCTTTGGTGTTCTCTATTTGGGGACACAAAAGCGACCAAAATGAATCTGCTGCGCCCAATACAATATTTTGGATCTTTATCTTTCTTTCTACTTCTAACCACCTTTTATTTCCTAGCGCCTTGCTTGGCAACACCTCACTTTTGGCTGAAATGTTGAGTGTTCGCCAAGATTAGGAAGGCAGGCTCTGTTCCCAGGCCTGGACATACCAAAATCCTTAAAAGTGGTAGTTGTTATTTCCTGCTTAACGTTCAGCATTTAGGGGAATGGCAACAACTGTTTCACTCGTTGTCAGTATAATGTGACAAGGCGGAATGCTATGCCGGTTGCCTTCGGCATGGCATTTCAGTGAGATAGCACTATAAAGTCGGCATCAGATCCGCGCTATCACAAGGAGGCAAGAACACCAACATTCCCTGTCTTCTGCATACACACATGCAAGCACGCATACACTACACACATGGAGAGAGGTACGTCCTTAAATGACCTTAGCTGTAAATAGGACGTCTAACAAAATTAAACCAAAATAAATCACTAAAGGGTAAAAGTATAGAATTGTTGTTCAAAAGTTTCTTTTGAATAGTAGTTAGTTGATATTCTTGATAAATGTTAATAATACAGTTGCCTATTCAATATATCAGTTAACATATGTTAGCGAAAATTCCACTTACTGTAAATCAGTTATATTTGGAGAAATATATATTTTCGCATTTCTTTGCAAAATGTCTTTTGACATATTTCAACATTGCATAAATCAATGTAGCTGAGAATGCTAATCTACGGATTCGGTTTCCTTTTGGATGATTAAACACATCAAGTCAAAACCTGTCACATACCGAGATTTTAACAAATCGACTATAATCGATACTAACTTAACTGTCTTATTTTAGTTGACTGTTCACGTGATCCCGGTCAGTGCGGGGTGTGGCCCAGTGACGCCCGTCAGTACAGACACTGGTCCGACTGTTGTGTATCCTCCCCCTGGCTCTCCTACCGTGAATCTACACACGGTCCAAATCTCTTCTGCAAGGTGAGGGTCAAACGCATTATGTAACAAGTGCGCCAAAATCCTGGTCGTCAATCTGAATAACTTCGTTCAATTTAACCTTTAACAGCAATATGTCAATAAAGCTATATAAGCTGTATGAAAACCAATTATCATACCTGTTTACAAAACACATTAAAAACGCTGATGAAAAAACTTGAAGTGTAAAAATTAATAAAAAAAAACCTCAAAATCTACCAAATACCAAAAGTTCTGAACAAAATCCCGATTTGTTTCCATTTTGTTTGACATTATAGTCGGACATTTAAACGTTTGCCCTTTATACTCCTGAATAAGGTCAATGAACAACACATGTTATTACAGTTTAACCCTCATACACTTTAAGGCCGATACTTTGCGGTCCCCTGATCTCGCGTTTTTAGAACGTATTCAACGAATGATAGTATATACTAAGCTAATTTAAAAATATGTTTGTTTATATGCTATTAAAAAGTATACATATATATACTGAAAGGATAAAGAAAGGCACGGTTAACATTTGAGGTGATTTGATGTTTAGTTTATACAATGTTTTTATATAAGTATAAAAAATTATCTTTAACAAACAATTTACTAAAATTTCATTAGATTTTGACCGATAATTCATGGGAAATTGAAGCACATTTGACGGTTTCCTCCAATATCTCAAAGTGTAATCGACTTACTCATCAATATGTCGTATGTTCCCTTGCGCATATGTCACAGCCCTGATTCTCTTGTGCATGGAGTTCATCAGTGCATGTATCCGTCTCATGGGGATAGTATTCCACTCCTCCATCAAGGTAGTCCGTAGTTGGTCGAGAGAAGCGGGGTCATACTGATAGCACCTTACCCTACTATCAAGTTCTTCCCACAGATGTTCGATTAGGGACAAATCTGGAAGTACGGAGACCAGTCGAGTGGGTTAATGTTTTGGTTTGCGAGAAAGTCTTGACAAACTCTGGCTACAAGGGGCCGGGAATAATTAGGTGAAACTGTTGCACAAATGGAACTGCAACAGGGCAGAGGATTTCATCCCTTTATCTTACGGCGGTTAAATTCCCGGTTACCTCAATCAACGATGACTTTACCCCTGGAGATTTCCATCCCCGGACCATAACCGGGCTACCCCAAACCTTTCACTCTCAAGAACGCAAACGTCTGCGAAGCGTTCTCCACGACGTCGGTATACACAACGTCGATCGTCCGCACGAAAAAGAGTGAACCGGGACTCATCTTTGAAAAAGACGACGGACAAGAAATTCTATAGTGGAATCATTCTCATCGAACTGCCTAGCAACCTGTTGTTGCCTTTTACCTTACATTATCAATGCAATAGCCTGACCCTCTGAACTCCCGTCAGTCGTACCACGAGTACAAGAGATTCAAATTGACAGTAAGTAGTGACAAGCGATGTGTATACCTCAAGAGTATCAAATGGCCGTAACAGTACATAGTTGAGTAGCTTTAGACACCGGCATGAGTGCACATTGACAAAGATACCCGTATGAACGTTTTTCATAATTTGAGGCCAAGCAGTTAAATAATTGTTGCATATTTTGTTACCCTGCGTTTCTTTATCCTTTCAGTATATAATATATACTGAAGGATAAAGAAACGCAGGGTAACAAAATATATAAAATAAATAAATCTACATCGGAAACGTAATAAGGTGCAAAAGAAATATTATTATATGAAAGTAAAAAACTGTTTCTATTCTTGTTAATACCACAGCCATGCAGAAGCGATAATAAGCACGTCGGCTGGAGTGATCATCTCACAATCATCGGACTCGGGTCATCCCGGGAATATGCTTGTGAACACGAGATGGACACCAAACCTTGATCAGAACGGACCAGCGTTTACCTGTGTTTGGGCATTACAACAGGATGGGTACGATATTATTGTCATAAAGATACCATATTTCATCCAAGAAACCAGAACAGCATTTAAATTATCATTCATTTTGAATATATATTCACAATAGAAATATGAAGCTTATAACAATATAAAGTTGATATGAGAATTTCCCAATAAAAACTGCATATCATCTATCACGTGATTAACTTAAATGTGTATTTCTTGACTGTTGTCAAAAGGGGTAAGTATATACCAATAGACTACTTAAAAAATGCATCATGTTTAAAATGATCGCTGCTATGTTGTTCAAACGATGAAATGAAATCAACATCAAAGTCATATTTGTAAATTCTGAAAACTGTCGAAACTAACACCAATCCGATTTTGTATGGTACAAATAATGAAAATAACGGAACATTCGCAATGGTTAATTTTGATGGACAATTGCGATCGGGATATTGTCAATAATCATGATAATTACACCGGTTATTCATTTGATGGAAACACAATGTTGTTAACGCAGTATCGTTTTCTTATCTCATCCATTTTAGTATTTAGAACAAGCAAACGTATTTCAGAACAAAAAGATATTTTTCTTTTTATTCTCCTGATTCTTTGACTTTTGATTATGATATATGTTTTATTCTTTTCATTTTCTACAGAATAACATCCGAACAGCACTGCTTCACAACAAATGTTAGAGGTAATATTACGCTGAACGGATGGCTGCTTACCATCTCATACTGGAGGTTTCTGTTAAGAACCATGATTATGGTCATCAGTTACTGTTATTTTAGTTTCTTACTTACATTGGTGTTTTTTTATTGTTATAAAGCATTTGGTACGTTTTGTTGTTTAGTTGTAAAGCATGATATGTTATATGGGCTCTTGATGTTTAATCTTTAGACCAGGATGACTGTAAGGGAGGCAATACGTGTTTACATGGCGGCACGTGCATTGACCTTTATAAACGATTCACGTGTAAATGCCTCGGTGGATTCACATCAAACGACTGTTCTGTCCGTAAGTATATACTTATATCTCATTCAGTTCGTGTGAATGCTTAAGGAATAGAAATTAACATTATAATATGTGTCTTTTTGGACCACAGGTTTTGTTTAGTTCATTTAGGTTTTTTAATGACACAGATAAATTTTTATTATGTTCTTATACAATTTAAATCACTTAGTAAATATGAATCCATATCTTTAACAGGGTGCATTGTAATCTCGTGAGATATAGAATATGAAAAACAATACATCTCAAGTGTATTTTGAACCAAGTTATCAAAATAAAATGTTTCCAAAAGAATCCATTTGTTGCAATTAGTTATTTGTACAGTAAAACATTCCAATATAGCGGCCCGATGGGTTGGATAAAAGTCAATAAAAGGCATATACCTCAGAACTGTCGAATGTTTGTCCGTCTCAAAAAGTCAAACAAGAAATCTCTAAATCTTCCTATAATAAAAGTGAAATGATTACTTGATACTGCCTTTGCTGCTGCTATGTATTTTCTCTCAACTTTATGTTAATCCGTTTATTCCTGGTTTGTTGACACTTTTGATTTTAACAACCAGCATTTTGTCTTCAACTAACATTTATTATTTCTTGAAAGCTACTTCCTGTGTATCATCAAATCCCTGTATAAATGGAACTTGTGAGGGAAGGCATGGGCATCTGTTCTGCATTTGTGCACCAGGTAGGCAAATTACCCACATCCCCTTCTGTTTCTACATAAGTTGGTATGGTGCTGTGAAGTTCATTGTCAGTATACTGTAAAACCAAAGTTTATAAGTACACTAGCACGTGTATGCTGTACGTTCAGTATGTACATGTTGTGAAATGGACCAAATGGATATACATGTATGTTGTAGTTAGATATTCACTTCAGTTTGCTTACTGCATCAACAAATCAAACTTTAGGTTGTTGCTTCTTTCCGTCGTATTTTCAGTGATTGTTTTGTTTACTGTATAAAGAACAGCGTATGTGTTGACTTTAACATTTTTTTTGCCTTATATGCAAGTTACAATAGCTTTGATAAAAAGGAGAGTTTGAGTTATTGCGACTGGTTGTAAACAAGGCAGAAATGTAATCAAGCCTATTTTAAATATTCACGGTTTATATCCTAAGTTGAAGGTTCGTTACTCTCGGATGCGCAATAAAAAAGTGTTTTATATGTAAAAAGCTTCCTGTTATAAAAGCAAACGTTATCCACGTTAAAATATGTTGGAGGAAATGCTTTAGTCTAAGACCGGAATAACGTTGCAGGGTACACTGGACAAAGATGTGACGTTAGGGTGGATCACTGTACCTTATCCCCATGTTTACACGGTGGCACGTGCTCCGACAATGTCATAGGGTCCTTGTGTACCTGTACCGCTCAGTATACTGGAAGACGGTGTCAAACACGTAAGTTAACACACTGTATTACTTCGTATACCGGAAATCACTGTCGGATATCAAAACTTTAAATATTTCCACGAAATAGACTGCATAGTGTCGATCATGTGATTAATCTAGTTTTTCGGATTTTAACATTTTTTATCTGTGAAATATACGTTTTTATGGAGAATTTGGTTTGATGTTAAAACGTTTGTGACAACGAAATGCACCTTTCAAGGTGTCAATCTTATTTTCCGGGAAAAGACCAAATTTTCATATAGAGAAACTTTGTAACAAATCACATTTTTTTTTATAAATAGCATAAATATTTTCTCGTGAGTTGAAAGTGTTTATTTCAATTCGTGTTACGCACTTGTATCGTACAAAATATCAAAATATTCACCCCTTTCGTGATATATAGCTTAATTCATGAGAAAGACTGTTCTCGTGTGAATGTTTACACTGCCTAGATAGCCTGCATTAGATATTGTATAATATATACTGGAAGTCAGTTGTGCACGTGTACCACGGCTCGGTGTACTGTTACAGACGTTGGTGTGATGATCAGTATACCGAATTTCACTGAAAGTTTCACTGAAAAATAAACTACATTAATCATCCATGTGAAAATACGAAATCATCAACTATGTACCTATAATGTATGTCCTCTTTAAACCAAGCAAAGATACCATAGCTAGTTTGCTGTTACAACTGTTTAATACTTGATAATAATGAAGAAAACGGTGTGTTGTTAATGTCATTTATTAATGAAGTATCAATCAAATTCAATCCTGATCAATTATCACATTACATAAAGATGTACTCAATAAACTAAATGTTAACATTTTAACATATGGCTATAACAGCTAAAATGGGGTAACATATCTAGGAGACTTATGGGGGCCATCCCGGTAACAACCATAAATCCATAGACAAGCCTCGACTTTTCGAGGATAAATCCACAAAGAATCACTCACAATGTCTCTGTAGAAAACACCCGGGTCGATTTTCATGTTGGAAAGGATGGGTGCCAATTTGGGCCTACTTGTCGCTATCACCGAAAAGTTTCATTTTTTTGTAAATGTATATTTTAAGGTTATTACATCATGATATAACGTTAAATTAAGGTGAGCTTGGGGACCGTTCCGAGATATGAGGGGGTAAAGTGGGGGACAAAAATCACAGATGATTTCTTTTTGACAAAGTTACATGGGTTTATTTAAAAAGTGATTTCATACTTTTCATGTATTGTGTGACACTAAAGCTGCATATTATAAAAATGGAAGAAAAAAGGAGCAAATAGTTGATAAGTAGGTCAATGCGATGTTCTTATATATCGGCTTAATTATGTCAACAGTTCTTCCTTTTTGTGCCTAAATACATATTTATAGTATTTCATCTATTCAATGACTATTGTACAATGCATTGTTTGAATATTATATATGAAAAATTAAGTTCTATAACCAAAGATGACATCAAACGACATATTCGTTTACGAATTATAATTATTATATCATGATTATAAATAAATTAATGGTAGGGAAGATGAATCATAATCCAGGTCGTTAACAGACAAAACTGGCCTTCTCGTCCTATCAGGTATCCACACCCTGCTACATGCTACCGGCTCCTCTGTTACTGCAAGTTTGTTTTACAAAGCTACAGTGTCCTCGAATAGCCAGGGAGTTCAGGTCGTGGATTACGTCAAAGTGTCGGGTGAGTCCAAAACTTCTGTTTAACTGAAAAAAATAACACAATACTTCATAAAATACTACTCATCAATAGGCAAATTTTATATGTACGAAATATTTAGATTGGTACAAAATTCAATGTTAAACAATGACTTTTAGGTGAAAGGTCGTGCGAGGCAAGTTTTGTCCTTCCCCTGTACATCTGGCGGTTTTCTTTTGTTTCCGTTGCTTATCGGGTTCCGAAATTGATATTCTTCTCAAATTAAAATAGTTGAAGTCTTTATCTTTCCTTTCTGCTCTTTTTCTGTGATATTTATTCTTAAGCTTCTTCGTAATAACTATGTACCACTATTGGACAATCCGTTTTGTGTTTCATTATTTTAAGTTTGTATTTGTGTTATAGAGCTGCATTACACTTTTAAAACGGCTATTATAGAAATGAGATAAATATGTGTCCGAGTCCTCAATACTACATAGATATAACGTCGTTTTGTATCACCAAACATTTGGATAACAATTCTTGTTATCGCTATTGCTGAAAACGGATTGGCGGGATCTAATCTAATTCCGTATGTATGTTCCCCTTGGTCCTTAATTGTGCATGTATGTTTACTTTTGAGACTTGTCGGATTAATAAAATGGCTTACAGGCAACCATCTTGGATTTTGTCAGTGGAGGTTTGCTATCGCCATATCTCGGGAAGTACTAGAGGGATCGTTCTCAATAATATGTAAGTTCCCCTTGGTCCATAGTTGTGCATATTTACTTTTGAGACTGGTCGGATAAACAAAATGGGCGACTGGCAACCATCTTGGACATTGGCAGTTCAGGTTTGTTACCGCTATTTCTCGGGAAGTACTAGAGGGATCTCTTTCTCAACAATGACATTTAAGTTCCCTACGTCTGTAGTTTTGGATGTTTAGTTGTGAGATTGATCGGATAAGCAAAATGGTCGACAGGCAGCCTTCTTGTATTTTGAAAGTGAAGGTTAGTTATCCCTATTTTGTAAGAAGTACTAGAGGGATCTTTCTCAAATTTGATGTGTATGTCCCCCTTGGTCTGTAGCCGTGCAAGATTGGATAAACAAAATGGCTGACTGGTGACTATCTTGGTTTTGTCAGTTAAGGTCTGTTAATGCTATTTCTCACAAAGTAATGGATTGAATAAACACATGGTCGACAGGTGGCCATCTTGGCTTTTAAGAGTTTAATATTGTTACTGCTATTTATCAAAAAGTACTCGACAGATCTTTCTCGAATTTCATATGAAGATTTCCCTCGGTCCTTTGTTGCGCATGTTTAAGTTTGCGGTCTTTGTCATATTGCAATGCGTGGCTATATTTCTTACATTAATTACTGTACTAGTAAATATGTGAAACGACAGGCTCGCTTTTAAGGTTGTCTATTATGCACATCAGTATGAAGTTAAGATCAAACATTACCTCAATGTGCATTTACTGTTAACAAGGCTCAATCAAACAGCTCATAGGAAAAAGTGAAGATGGTACGATGTTGGACGCCAAGATCCCTCTTGTTTCATTTTATGTCACAGTTGGTTCACAATCCTAAAGCATGGTATCAAGGATAAATTCCTTATAGATTCCTCGTGTGCTGGGCAGTAATTAACTGTTTTACCAAGGTTTTCCGCCAGAGAGGCTTCCAACTACGCTGTTTAATTGTACACTCATCGTAATGACCTGATGTTCAACTATGAAATATAAGTGTCGACCACGATTAAAGCCTTTTCCACCAGTATTTTGATCATTTTGGCCTACATGCTTAATAGGATTTAACAAAACGAGTGTCAGACTCGCAATGCGGTATAAGAAATGATTACTGATTGATTAGTTTCGTTCTTTTTGTTAGCTCATCTGGTCCGAAGGACCATGGTGAGCTTATGCCATACCGCAGCGTCCGTCGTCTGTCCGTCCGTCCGTCGACTTTTCCTTTAAAATGCTACTAGTCATGAACGACTGAGCAGAATTTGCCCAAATTTGGTCAAAAGCATTCTTGGGGGAAGGGGAACAAATTCCCCTTTGGGGCTGAGGGGAGGGGCCCAATAGAGGAAATATAGCAAAATCTTTAAAATCCTTCNATTCTTTAAAATCCTTCTTCTGTAGGAATGAAAGGATTTGGTCCATATTTGGTGTGACGCATCCTAGGATAAAGGGGAAGTAATTTTGTATAAACAGTGAGTGTGTCCCCCCTGGGGCAGAAGGGAGGGGCCCAATAGGGGAAACATAGTAAATTCATCAAAATCCTTCTACTTCTGTAGGAATGACAGGGTTTTGTCCAAATTTGGTATGAAGCACGGTTGGGTGAAGGGGAACCAATTTTGTAACAGAGTGTCTGACCCCCCTGGAGGCAGAGAGGCGGGGCCCAATAGGGGAAATATAGGTAAAACCTTTAAAATCCTTCTTCTACAGTAGGAATTAAGGGATTTCATCCTAATTTAGTCTGGAGCATTCTTGGGCCAATGGGACTAAATTATATAAGCAGTGGGTGTGGTCTCCCAGGGGACAGAAGGGCTGGGCCAAATAGAGGTGAAACCTTTAAAATCCTTCTTCGACCATCGGGATTAAGGGATTTTATCCTAATTTAGTCTGGAGCATCCTTGGGTCAAGGGGACTCACTTTTGTATAATTGGTGCTTATGACCCCCCTAGGGGCATAGGGGTGGGGCTCTGTTTGAAGGTTGTTCTCGCTATATCTCAAGTACTGGATGGATCTTTCTGAAAATTCATATGTACTTACAGCACCTACCATGGATTGCTATATCTTTACTTCATACCAATTATTTTTTAACATATTCAGGTGAGTGATACAGGCCCTCTGGGCCTCTTGTTTTCGATATTATCATTTGCTAAAATAATATTATTTTTCTTCTAAGCATCGAATTTTTAATTTGCCTTGTAGATAATAGCAAACAGGTAAGTAGTTCTTTGTTTCACAGAGCATACAACTAGTGTGTTGTCCATGTCATTTAAGTATTGCCTGTCAGGACCGTCACTTCTGAACGACTCATAATAATGTTCGTTTATAGTGCCAAATGGGGTGGACAAACTTATATTTGCACATGTCAATTTTGCACCAATAAAGACATTAGAACCTTCGTGTTTATTCAATTTAAGCTTATGTTCTGTCTCATCTTTGTTAGCGTTATATCCTGGTCCCAAGATCAGCATTTTAAACATAAAATGCATGAAAAATAAAAGTTATGAAATAAGACAATCTCAAATGAATGGATATAAATTCTAAACTATGTAGAAAGTTATTGATGGCGAAACATTTTTTTTACCTGAGCGTTTTCTATATTAGTGTACTATAGTGTGATCAACTTCCCCACACAGAGCATCAACGTCGTCGTGGACAACGACGGTCCGTCTTTGTGGCCAATAGGTGTAGCCTTCGGGGGTCTCCTGCTCACTGCATTAGCCGGTTGTGGAGTGTGGTGGTGCTGTATCGACAAGCGAGGCAAGAACAAGGGAGTTATCGAACCAACTAAACAGTGGGCACGCCGGTCCGCCGAACTCCAAAACCGCACTTCAAGGTCTCCTGTGCATGAAAGCGCGCCACAGAAGACCGGGAATAATGTGACACAAATGGAAACAAACACCGGAACGCAAGTGACGGGAGGGTCGCCACGGATACTCAATATATATCAGTCTTCAGCCAACGACCCTCACCTACACAAGTGTGGTACCAAGTCACGTGGGGACGTATACCACAACAATACTTTCTGGTGATCTGTCACGGACTGGATGGGATGCAAGTATATCCTCGTGCCGCCTTTTTGTACACGAATGTATATAATCGATTTATTTAAGCATTGAACTGTTTTTGTATGGTATTTATGATCTATTTGAATGACACAGCTTTGCAAGCAAACAAATCATAATGCGCGCGTTGTAATAAAAGTGTTTTTTTATTTCATTTTTTATTTTGCACATAAATTTACAATGACATTGTCAAATCTCACAATGCCCAGCGATATTTCAGCAGCCGTCATGTTTATTTATATTGGATATTGTAGTTCCGGTCAGTGTTGTATTAATACGCTAAGAATTATGCCTCGTGATACATGGTAATTAAAGTCCCATCAACGGCACAGCTTTCAAAGAGGCTATATAGTGACAATGCCATGCAAATGTAAATATAGATACATAACCTATTTCGACATGGATCTAACTGTATGTTGGGATATTTTCGCCAGTTTTACACATTTGTCGCCCTAAATTATTGGAGTTAATTCACCCAATGGCAGCGAACACCGGTAATAGTACTCAAGATGATATACGTAGTAATTACATGTGAAAAGCAAAAACCACACCTGTTGGTAATGGATTTTACCAGTGTACACATAACTGTTACAAGGCAAATGTTGTACAGGGAGAAAGTTTCCCAATATAAAGCATAAGCATTCATCATTTTTGTTCCTATTATTTATAAATGATTCAACACATATATCCAGTGACTATGAGTTTGTTTCTGACCCTCGTAACAGCTCAGATCTTGTGACAATTGTCCACGGAGGAAAGAGCAACATCAAAGTGTCATATCTATCTTAATGAAATGTGACCTAACCTGGGTCAAAGGTAAAACCCGAGTGCCAGGGTAAATCAGAGTTGCCATGGTTAAACCCTGGGTGCCAGGGTAAATCAGAGTTGCCATGGGTAATCCAGAGGCGCCACAGGTAAACCAGAGGTGTCAGGTTAAACCAGAGGTGCCAAAGTAAAATCAGAGGTTCCAAGGGAAAACCATAAGTGCGAAGGGTTAATCAGAAGTGCCAACGAAAACGAGAGCTACCGAGGGTAAACTAGAACTGTTAAGAGTAAACAAGAGGTGCCAAGGGTTAATCAGAGATACCAAGGGTTAACCAGAGGTACCCAGGGAAAAACCGGCAGATAGAGAGATTAGATATGAGAGAAAAATAAATTGTAGTCTCATAGTGCTAAATGATACCTTTTTGTGATGCGCATCATACTTCCAAAGGTTGAACGATAACGAGGACGTATATCATGTAATGCATATTAATGAGAGGAAATAATGTGAAACGCTATATAAACAATTTTAAATTGAAGTTTTCGTAAAAAAACCGACAATAAAGACTTATGTGTATCTTTCTAGTCCCATCACTTACACATATATATATAATGTTTTCTGATTTGAAGCTGGAAATAGGGGAAGCAGATTTTTTTTATTTCTCATTGCGTTCTCGCATAATTATGGAATACAAGTTTAACAAGAGATCCCAGAGGGATCTTGGCGACCACCTTTGTAACATCTTCATTAGTTCTTTGTCAGTTCGATCTTTTCTCTTCTTTCCTCTAATCTGTTTGATCGAGTCATGTTAACAGTAAATGCACCTTGAGGTAACTTTTGATCTACATTTAATACTGATGTGTATGAAAGCCAACCTTCAAAATGAGTATAATCGATCATTGCAATATGAGAAAGATCTGTTTAGTTCTTCTTTTTATCCATTTTGTTTTTATGATCAGTCTCAAAATATAACATGCACAATGAGGGATTAAGGGGAACCTACATTTAAAATTTGAGAAAGATCCCTCCCGTACTTCCCGAGAAATAGTGAAAACAAACTTTCATTATGAAAATCCAAGATGGCTGCCTGTCGGCCATGTTGTTTATCCGATCAGTCTCTAAAATTACCCAACACAGCTAGGACCAAGGGGAACCTACATATTAAATTTAAGAAAGATCCCTCTAGTTCTTCCGGAGAAATAGCGGTAACAAACCTACACTATCAATATCCAAGATGGCTGCCTGTCGGCCATGTTGTTTATCTGATCAGTCTCAAAAGTTGCACTGCACAGCTAAGGACCAAGGGGAACCTACATATAAAATTTGAGAAAGATCGCTCTGGTACTTCTTGAGAAAAAGCGATAACAAACTTTCACTATCAAAATCCAAGATGGCTGCCTGTCAGCCATGTTGTTTATCCGATCAGTCTCAAACGTTGCCCTGCACAGCTAAGGACCAAGGGGAACCTACATATAAAATTTGAGAAAGATCGCTCTGGTAATTCTTGAGAAAAAGCGATAACAAACTTTCACTATCAAAATCCAAGATGGCTGCCTGTCGGCAATGTTGATTATCCAATCAGTCTCAAAAGTTGCCCTGTACAGCTATGGACTAAGGGGAACCTACATATAAAATTTGAGAAAGATCCCTCGGGTGCTTCTTGAGAAATAGCGATAACAAACTTTCAATATCAAAATCCAAGATGGCTGCCTGTCGGCAATGTTGATTATCCAATCAGTCTCAAAAGTTGCCCTGCACAGCTAAGGACCAAGGGGAACCTACATATAAAATTAGAGAAAAATCCCTATGGTACTTCTTGAGAAATAGCGATAACAAACTTTCTCTATTAAAATCAAAGATGGCTGCCTGTCGGCCATGTTGTTTATCCGATTAGTCTCAAAAGTTGCCCTGCACAGTTAAGGACCAAGGGGAACATACATATAAAATTTGAGAAAGATCGCTCTGGGACTTCTTGAGAAATAGCGATAACAAACTTTCAATATCAAATTCCAAGATGGCTGCCTGTCGGCCATGTTGTTTATCCAATCAATCTCAAGAATTGCCCTGCACAGCTATGGACTAGGGGGAACCTACATATAAAATTTGAGAAAGATCGCTCTGGCACTTCTTGAGAAATAGCGGTAACAAACCTACACTATCAATATCCAAGATGGCTGCCTGTAGGCCATGTTGTTTATCTGATCAGTCTCAAAAGATGCCCTGCGCAGCTATGGACTGAGGGGAACCTACATATAAATTTGAGAAAGATCGCTCTGGTACTTCTTGAGAAATAGCGATAACAAACTTTCAATATCAAAATCCAAGATGGCTGCCTGTCGGCCGTGTTGTTTATCCGATCAGTCTCAAAAGATGCCCTGCGCAGCTATGGACTGAGGGGAACCTACATATAAAATTTGAGAAAGATCCCTCTGGTACTTCTTGAGAAATACCGATAACAAGAATTGTTTAAGGACGGACGACGGACCACGGACGCGGGGTGATTTGAATAGCCCACCATCAGATTGGCTAAAAATCAAAAGAATACAGGAGTATTAATGAATGTTTGGGTCCAAAGTTGATGAAACAAGGGTCAGATTATTAAGAAAAGAAATATCTATTTCATGGAAAGCTCTTGAAGCATTGCAATATTGATGATCACCAGTTACCAAGTGTCCAACTGCACATTTATTGGAAGTGGACCTGAGCAAGAAGATGGTGACGGTGGAGATATTCTTAGGTCGTCTTAATGTGGTTGATAGACTTCAGTAAGTGTTACTGTATTCCATACTGAGGGTCATAGGGTGGGGTTATCATGTTTGGTACTATTTTTTGTTATAATGTCTCTCAGTGCAGTGATCGTTAACGTGCGTTCCGTACTGAGCAAAAAGTAACTCGCAGGTTATATATTCTCTTACCCTGGACAGGTATTTCTCTTTCCCTGGACAGATGTATCCACATTTTCCCCATGTGTGAGATATCCTTTTCTCTCATTTCCGTGTATGTAAGATGGAGCTGTCCAGGGTAAGAACAGAGTATAAGGATAATAGAATCGCTCTTCCCTTTTGGGGTGAGATAGGGGAATCTCAATCCGAGGGGGAAGATTCTTAAGTTGCAAAACACGAGGTTTGGCAACTTAAGAATCTTTCCTCGAGGGTTGAGATTCCCCTTTCTCACCCCAAAGGGGATGAATGATTCTATTTCTCTTACCCTGTTCTCCAATTGTGTATCATATGCACAATGTAATGATAACGTTACATGCTAAATTCAGGGTTGACGTGACGTTGATCGATTGTTGACGTGACGTGATTGTATTGTTGCAGTGGCGTCATATCATTGTTATGAATAGGGGAATCCCCCGTCTCAACCCTAGGGTTAGACAAGGAAATCTCACACCGGTAAAAGGGCGGATACACCTGTCCAGGGTAAGAGAATAATAGAATATTTCACCCCCTTGGGGGTGAGATAGGAGAATCACAACCCGAGGGGGAAGATTCTTAAGTTATCAAACACGAGGCAACCCTAGGGTGAGACAAGGAAATCTCCCACCGGTAAAAGGGCGGAAACACCTGTCCAGGGTAAGAGAAATGTCTTTCTCCCATCCTTCATAGGTGTGTCTCCCTTTTAAGCCGGAAAAGATCAGCTTGTCACCCCCTCGTGCAGAATACCACTAGTATGACGTCACGTCAACAGTAGCAGACCATGGAAGACAACTCGGGATTTGCTGAAAAAACTTGCAATCAACTCGTACATTTCATGCAATCACCGCTTGTCGGCAGGTTTGTGAGTGAAACAGGATGGGAGAAAAACAATCATACCTTACCTCAAACCTCGGGATGATATTCTGGAATGTCTTAACCTCGGCAAAGTCCTGGGTAAGACAATCAAAAACATCACCCCTCGGGTTGGAGATTTTTCTGTCGCACCCTCAAGGTTGGGGGAGATTCTATTGATCTTACATGTACACCTTATTTCGGTGTACGTGACGTCACAATTGCTCAACAATGACGTGATGTAACCAATTTGGAAAAATCTGATGCCGCAATGCAGAAAAGGAGATGTGATGAACAGACCTTTTACAAGCTAGAAAGAGGAGATCATTTTTTTCTCTGTGCAAACTATGTTTGCATCTATGGGTATGTTAAATTTTGCTGAGGGAATCGTTTTAGTAAAAAAAAAACTTGAGGGAAAAAGTTGATATTTTCAAAATGTAGTCAGTCCTATGCATTTTCATGATTTCTGAGCTTATTCTGGTAGCTGGAATGAGAAAAAAATACACTTTCATGCCCGGGGCGTAGGTAAGGGAATTCAACCCTAGGGATTTTCAAATTTGGCAAAAC